ATAATACACAGACTTTATTGGGTTATCTTGGGCAGCTAATACTCCTGGCTAAAAAAAAAAAAAAAAAAAAAAAAAAAAAAAAAAAAAAAAAAAAAAAAAAAAAAAAAAAAAAAAAAAGATAACCTTACAGAATGGGTAGGAAGTGAACTTGCAGCAGATGAGTCATAAAACCCACACTTCTCTCATGGGTTCAAGTCCCACCAGTTCTGTGATTTGTTTGCAATTATGTTATTGTGATTTTGTGTGAACAAAACAAAATATTTTCTTACCTTATTTTATGTTGCAAATGTATGGAATTGGCAGTAGGTTACTAAAAGCAGTTAAGATTTTTAATGCAGAGTGAGACTGGTTAGTGTGTAGGAGAGAGAGAGAGAGGACCACGTCTCTGTCACAGTAAGACTTACAGACTTACACAGGGATGTGTGATGTCACTATAGGTGTTTAACATATTTATAGATGGGTTGTAAAAGAAGTGAATGCTAGGGTATTGGAAAGAGGGGAATTAAAAGCTATTATATCCGACACAAAATTTGAGTTATCACGGTGATAGTCCTTGGGTGGGGTTCTTAGCTTATGAGAGGTTTTTACAAAGCAGAAGTGTTATAAGAAGAGTAGAGTATTTTTTTTTTTTTCAAAAAGTCGGCCGTCTCCCACCGAGGCAGGGTGATCCAAAAAAAGAAAGAAAATCCCCAAAAAGAAAATACTTTCATCATCATTCAACACTTTCACCACACTCTCACATTATCACTGTTTTTGCAGAGGTGCTCAGAATACAACAGTTTAGAAGCATATACATATAACAACATATCCCTCCAAACTGCCAATATCCCAAACCCCTCCTTTAAAGTGCAGGCATTGTACTTCCCATTTCCAGGACTCAAGTCCGACTATATGAAAATAACCGGTTTCCCTGAATCCCTTCACTAAATATTACCCTGCTCACACTCCAACAGATCGTCAGGTCCCAAGTACCATTCGTCTCCATTCACTCCTATCTAACACGCTCATGCACGCTTGCTGGAAGTCCAAGCCCTTCGCCCACAAAACCTCCTTTACCCCCTCTCTCCAACCCTTTCGAGGACGACCCCTACCCCGCCTTCCTTCCCCTATAGATTTATATGCTTTCCATGTCATTCTTTGATCCATTCTCTCTAAATGACCAAACCACCTCAACAGCCCCTCTTCTGCCCTCTGACTAATACTTTTATTAACTCCACACCTTCTCCTAATTTCCACACTCCGAATTTTCTGCATAATATTTACACCACACATTGCCCTTAAACAGGACATCTCCACTGCCTCCAACCGTCTCCTCGCTGCTGCATTTACCACCCAAGCTTCACACCCATATAAGAGTGTTGGTACCACTATACTTTCATACATTCCCTTCTTTGCCTCCATAGATAACGTTTTTTGACTCCACATATACCTCAACGCACCGCTCACCTTTTTTCCCTCATCAATTCTATGATTAACCTCATCCTTCATAAATCCATCAAGCAGATGATAGAGTAGGAGAGGCACTATCAAGAAATTTTAATGAAAATAACAAAAAATTTTGCAGCAAGTTAAACAATTTAAGAAAGCCTAGAGAACGAATGGATTTGTCAGTTAAAAACAGAGTATGGGAGTTAGTATATGGGGAGATGGAGGTTTTGGGTAGATGGCAAGAATATTTTGAGGAACTTTTAAATGTCGACGAAGAAAGGGAAGCGGTAATTTCATGCACTGGCCAGGGAGGTATACCATCTTTTAGGAGTGAAAAAGAACAGGATGCGAGTGTGGGGGAGGTGTGTGAGGCATTACGTAGAATGAAAGGGGGTAAAGCAGCTGGAACTGATGGGATCATGACAAAAATGTTAAAAGCAGGGGGGATACAGTGTTGGAGTGGTTGGTATTTTTGTTTAATAAACATATAAAAGAGGGGAAGGGGTCTGATGATTGGCAGAGAGCATGTATAGTCCCTTTATATAAAGGGAAGGGGGACAAAAGAGATTGTAAAAATTATAGAGGAATAAGTTTACTGAGTATACCAGGAAAAGTGTACGGTAGGGTTATAATTGAAAGAATTAGAGGTAAGACAGAATGTAGGATTGCGGATGAGCAAGGAGGTTTCAGAGTGGGTAGGGGATGTGTAGATCAAGTGTTTACATTGAAGTATATATGTGAACAGTATTTAGATAAAGGTAGGGAAGTTTTTATTGCAGTTATGAATTTAGAAAAGGCATAGGATAGAGTGGATAGGGGAGCAATGTGGCAGATGTTGCAAGTATGTATATGGAATAGGTGGTAAGTTACTAAATGCTGTGAAGAGTTTTTATGAGGATAGTGAGGCTCAGGTTAGGGTGTGTAGAAGAGAGGGAGACTACTTCCCAGTAAAAGTAGGTCTTAGACAGGGATGTGTAATGTCACCATGGTTGTTTAATATATTTATAGATGGGGCTGTAAAAGAAGTAAATTCTAGGGTGTTCGGGAGAGGGGTGGGATTAATTTATGGGGAATCAAATACAAAACGGGAATTGACACAGTTGATTTTTGCTGATGATACTGTGCTTATGGGAGATTCTAAAGAAAAATTGCTAAGGTTAGTGGATGAGTTTGGGAGTGTGTGTAAAGATAGAGAGTTGAAAGTGAACATAGAAATGAGTGAGGTGATGAGGGTATCAAATGATTTAGATAAAGAAAAGTTATCTAGAGAGGCAAAAAAGGGAATGTAAGAAAGTATAGTAGTATCAACACTCTTATATGGGTGTGAAGCTTGGGTTGTGAATGCAGCAGCGAGGAGGCGGTTGGAGGCAGTGGAGATGTCCTGTCTAAAGGCAATATGTGGTGTAAATATTATGCAGAAAATTCGGAGTGTTGAAATTAGAAGGTGTGGAGTTAATAAAAGTATTAATCAGAGGGCTCAAGAGGGGTTGTTGAGGTGGTTTGATCATTTAGAGAGAATGGATCAAAGTAGAATGACATGGAGAGCGTATAAATCTGTAGGGGAAGGAAGGCGGGGTAAGGGTCGCCCTCGAAAAGGTAGGAAGGAAGGGGCAAGGGAGGTTTTGTGGGTGAGGGGCTTGGACTTCCAGCAGGCATGCATGAGCGTGTTCGATAGGAGCGAATGGAGACGAATGGTATTTGGGACCTGACGATCTGTTGGAGTGTGGGCAGGGTAATATTTAGTGAAGGGATTCAGGAAAACCGGTTATTTTTATATAGCAGGACTTAGTCCTGGAAATGGGAAGTACAATGTCTGCACTCTAAAGGAGGGGTTCAGGATATTAGCCATTTGGAGGGATATGTTGTGTATCTTTTTACATATATGCTTCTAAACTGTTGTGTTCTGAGCACCTCTGCAAAAACAATGATTATGTGTGAGTGAGGTGAAAGTGTTGAATGATGATGAAAGTATTTTCTTTTTTGGGATTTTCTTTCTTTTTGGGTCACCCTGCCTTGATGGGAGACGGCTGACTTGTTAAAAAAAAAAAAAAGGTACAAAGATGGTAGATAGCAACCACCCAGGGAGGTACTACCATCCTGCCAAGTGAGTGTGTAACAGAAACCTGTAATTGTTTTACATGGTAGGATTGCTGGTGTCTTTTTTCTGTCTCATAAACATGCAAGATTTCAGGTACGTCTTGTTACTTCTACTTACACTTGGGTCACGCTACACATACATGTACAAGCGTATATATACACCCCCCCCCCTGGGTTTTCTTCTACATATTTCTTTTCTAGTTCTTGTCTATTTCCTCTTATCTCCTTGGGGAAGTGGAGCAGAATTCTTCCTTCATAAGCCTTACATGTCTTAAGAAGTGACTAAATTTAAAAAGAGAAACTTTGTTTTTCTTTTTAGGTCACCCTACCATGGTGGGATATGGTCAGTTTGTTTAAAAAAAAAAAAAAAAAGTTGAAAGTGAACATATAAAAGAGAAATGTGACAAGGTGAAACAAAAAGTCTAGTCAATGATAATGTAAATCAGATTGGAGGGAGTATGGAGGAAGTGGATGTATTTAGACATTTGGGAGTGGATATGCCAGCAAATGGGTCTATGAACCACAGAACAGATGAAAGGAATAAAAGAAGGTAGATGGTGTGTCGAGGCATCTGTGGAAAGTTCATCTATGAAAGTAAAAAATGGAATGTACTAGAGTATAGTGATAAGAACACTTTTACACGAGTGTGAATGCTACAGTGAGGAGGTGGTAAGAGGCAGTAGAGATATCATGTTTGAGAGACGTGTGTGATGTGAATATCATGCGGAGAACTCAGAGCATCGAAATTAAAAGGCAATATAGAGTCACCAAGGGCATAATTCAGAGGGCTGAGATGATGCTGAGGTGGTTAGGGCATGTAGAGAATATGAAGAAGGATAGGATAATGAATATGTGTATAAATCTAGGATGGAGGGTAGTGGAGTAAAAGAAGCTGAGTTTTAGGTGCTTGATCATTCAGCAGGTTTGTGTGAGGATGTCAGATAGTAGGTGGGAGATGGCTGACATGTTAAAAAAAAAAAAATGTTAGTCGAGTGTGAGCAAGGTACTAGATCTTATGAGGAGATTCAGGGAAACTGGTTAGCTGGACTTGAATCTTAGAGGTGGAAAGGGCAGTTCCTGCACTATGGACGGGTGAGGATGTTACAGTTTGGAGAATCATTTCAACTGTGATCTCAGCACACTTCTAGCACAACAACTACTGAGTGATGGTGAATGTATTTCTTTGTTTTTTGGGGTGCCCTATTTCAGTGGGAGATGGGCACTGAATATTGTACAGTTTTGCAGAGAGGCATTTGCTAGTTACTAAAGCAGCTATTAATGGCATATTAATAATATTTAAAAAAATGACTAGCAGACATGAGCTATACAGACAACAATACCTACCACATATTGACAAGAACTTGAACAAAAGATAAAGCTTAATCAAGAACATGTACCAAACATTGTTTGACATGCGTATATACAGAATGCACTTTTATTCTTGTAACTAGCCTGAAAACTATGAATAAGAATACCTGCACTGCTGCCACTATAAGAAATGGCAACATAGTCATGGGCATTCGTAGAATATTTAACAGTGAAAGAGAAGTGAAAATCATCTGTGCAGTCAGAATATTGTTCGAGTCTGACAATACATAGGTCGTAAACATAACCAGTGTCACCTGCAAAATGGATATATAATACAGAATTATTAACAGAAGCACTTTCATACTGTACATAAATTTTTATGAAAGTTAATGCAGGTGTAGAAAAACTGCTTTGCAAATAGTAAAATCGAACATAATGTTACTTTCATTTGCCCATTGGAAGGCTTTACTGATATTCAACTGAAGTTTTTCTTTGTCTTCTACTGGAGCAAATTACATTCTTAAGAGTATTTCGGTATCATCTGCAATCAATCAATCAAGTTTATTCTCTATAAGGATTACAATGCTGAGTTTACAGAATTTGGATATTGTGTGGTTTACATGTTTTAAAATACTAATTACAGAGGGGGCCACTAGAACACCTAGCATGGCTAGGCATTTCGGGCAGACTTAGATTAATTCTTAACTTTAACCCTTTGACTGTCGCGGCCATATATATACGTCTTACGAGGTACCGTGTTTGACATATATATACTCATAAATTCTAGCGGCTTCAAATCAAGCAGGAGAAAGCTGGTAGGCCCACATGTGAGAGAATGGGTCTGTGTGGCCAGTGTGCACCATATAAAAAAAAATCCTGGAGCACGCAGTGCATAATGAGAAAAAAAAAACTCCGACCGTTTTTTTTAATTAAAATGCCAACTTTGTGGTCTATTTTCGTATAGTATTTATGGTTGTATTCTCATTTTCATGGTCTCATTTGATAGAATGGAAAACATATTATAGAAATAAAGGTGATTTTGATTGATTTTCCTATAAAAAGAACCTAGAAATGGAGCTCAAAGTAGGGGAAATGTTTGATTTTTGCCAATGTTCAAAAGTAAACAAATGATGCCATTGTCCAATAAATGTCCAACTAGCCATTCTAATACGCAGTCATGAATGGGTTGATGTTATTTATACAATTATTACAGTATTGCAGTAGTCTGCATAATAGTAAGTCTTCTATTTTTTTGTTTGAATAAAAATTCAAAATAGAAAGCAAGAGTAATATCAGAGGGGCCTGGAGACATGACTGATGAGCAAAGAAAATGTAATTTTAGAGCCAGGAATGTCTGCATTGTTCATTCTGGACCTTATTTTGAAATTGTCATATTTTTTAGTTTTCGTGAAATTGGCCAAATTGCAAATTTCTGACCACATTATTAGGTAGTTGAAATCGGTAAATGGGCAGTTTCTTGTACTCAATCGATAGAAAAAATGGAGTTCTAAAGAAATAGCTATGAGTTTGGGCGACTGGAACAATGGAATTAACCGAAAATAGTGCTCAAAGTGGGCAAAATCGCCGATTTGTAAACAGCGCCGAGGTCGCTAACTTCGCGAGAGCATAATTCCGTCAGTTTTCCATCAAATTTCGTTTTTTTTTGGTGTCATTACAATCGGGAAAAGATTCTCTATCATTTCACAAGAAAAAATATTTTTTTTTTTTTTTAAATTTTGCGACACCAGGAGACACCTCAGGATTGGGGGTTGCGACAGACAAAGGGTTAAAATATTACAAATTATGAGGTAAGTTGGTATTATGGCTAAGTGACTAAATACTAGTTTGTGAGTTTAGCAATGTGAATGCTTTTGTTTTCGCACAATACATAGTTTCATTATTGGAGTATCACAGGGCAACTTATGACTAGTTAGGATTCATTATTTTAAGATTAAGATTGATATTTCTGTGTTTATGGTCAAATGGGTGAGTGTAAGTGTGAACCACAAGGTGGTATTCATGTAATTAGATGATGGGGTGTATCAGGGAGATAAGATGCTTTCTAATGGTAGTTTTGAAGGTGATAAATGTGTCTGCAGTTCTAGAGTTTTCAGGGAGGGTGTTCCAGATTTTAGGGCCTTTGACATACATTGAATTTTTGTAATGGTTTAGTTGGACACGGGGAATGTCATAGAGATGTTTGTGTCTGGTGTTATGCCTGTGGGTTCTGTCACAACTATCAAGAAAGCATTTTAGGTCAAGGTTAATATTGGAATTTAAGGTCCTGTAGATGTAGATTGCACAGTAATAAGTGTGGATGTACTGAACAGGGAGTAAGTTTAGATCTATGAAGAGTGGGGGGGGGGGGTGTTGCCAGGGATGGGATTTAGTGATTATTCTTACTGCGGCTTTTTGTTGGGTTATTATTGGCTTTAGGTGTGTTGTGTTAAGCAATACATGACTATCACTGCATCTGGGTCAACTAAAATTGGCATTTTCATGACTAACTGGACAAAGATATAAAAAGTTTCAAGAAAATCAGAACAAACAGAAGTACAGCTAAAAAAAAAAAAAAAAAAAAAAATATGGTAAGCTCCAAGATATGGGCAGCAATATCATAAATGGGAGTGAGAATAAAAAATTTTGAAACTCATTTTGAGAGACTGTGAAAGCATAAATATACGTAGTCAATTAAAAACTATCATTTATGAAAAAGTACCACAGGAGAGCCCTGCTCATTCGACACCCTCTTTTCGGTGTTCCACATTTTCATTAACTTTCTACAGAGCCACTGTTCATTACATTCAGTGCTTTTACCACTTTACTGCCATTTTCACACAACAGTTATGTAAGGGAAGTGTGACAAGTACCATATTTTAAAGTAATTATTGTTTGTAATTATTGCCTAACTGTATTGAACACTTCAATATATGAAAGCATAAACATGTTATCAGGAATTTTAGACACATTCGATAATGAAGAAATGCTCTTTTCCACCCACTGGTGTTTTTCACTTGTTGCACAGGGTCAGGAACTTAACAAACAGGGCCCTCCTATTTATCCCAGTCAGACTTACTGCTATACTAAAAAATTATTTTCAGACTAAATAGAAGAAAAATGCTGGCAGCAACATTTGGAAAAAATCTAATAAATAATAATCAACAAAACATTACACCTTTAATGAACAAGACAAAGTCAGTACAAGCTCTTCCACTGACAAGCTTGGAGAGAAGACAAATAATGTCAAAATATGCATCCTTTACTCCAATTTATCGGTATTATCTGACTAGTAAAATATAACCGAGTCTTCCCAAAACATTCATCTAGTACAGGTATATATAACATACAAAAATATAAATATTAATAATCCTTAAGAAAACTTGTACAACAACAAATAATCATGATAAATTTTATTTCATTTAAGTGAACCACTTGGGTAAAATCTCAAGCTGGAATGTTATGGATTGAGGAAACTCGTATAGATAGAAAAAGAATGTGGGTTTAAAAATTAAAATTAACTCTTTCGCTGACTGTGCCATAGTACTTCAGCTTTGATGTCACTATTAGTGCCTTAAAACTATGCTGTGAGCTCAGCTCACTCACTAAAGCTGTGAGAAGTAAGTCTGGGCCTAGATAAGAGAGAATGGATCTATGTGATAAGTTGAACCATATAAAAAAATCCTGCAGCGCGAAGTGCATGAGGGGAAAAAATGCAACCGTGTTTTTGGTTTAAAACAGCGACTTCGCAGTGTATTTTTGTATGTTTTTTTTATGGCTATATTCTTGATTTCTAGGTCTCATTTAACAGAATGGAAGATATATTACAGATTCTGATTGATTTAATGACTGAAAATAGTTTAAAATTGAGCTCAAAGAAGCAGAATTGTTTCATTTTTACCGATGTTCAAGAGTAAACAAATCATGTCACACGTCCAATGCACGTCAACTGGTGGGTCTAATGTGTGTTCATGAGTGATGATATTATTTATACAATTATTACAATACTGCATAACATTAAATCCTCTATTTTTTGTGAATAAAAATTCTTTGAGTAAAAAATCAAAATGGAATTCATATGTAAAGCCTGGGAACATAACTAATGAATAGAGGAAATGTTATTTTAGTGCCAGGAATGCCCGTATTTTATTCTAAACAATATTTCGAAATTAAAATATTTGGAAATTTGTGTGAAATTGGCCAAATTGTCAATTTCTGATCACTTTACAGGGTAGTTAAAATAGTTGACTGGGCAATTTCCTGAGGGATGTTGCATCTCCTTCTAACTCTTTGCTTTCACAGGGACTGATTTTTGTGTGCAGATTTGGGACTAGTCCCTCTAGGAGTTTCCAAGTGTATATTATCATGTATCTTTCTTGCCTGCATTCCAGGGAGTACAAATCAAGGTACTTAACCATTCCCAGTAATTTAGATTCTGTATTGTACTTATACATGCTGTGAAAGTTTTTTGTAGATTCTCAACGACTTCAATTTTACCTGTCTTGAAAAGGGCCATTAGTGTACAGCAATATTCCAGTCTAGAGAGAACAAGCGATTTGAAGAGAATCATCATGGGCTTAGCATCTCTAGTTTTGAAGGTTCTCATTATCCATCCTATCATTTTCCTAGCAGATGTGGTCGATACATCATTGTGATCTCTGAAAGTGAGATTCTCCGACATTATCACTCCCACATCCTTCACATTAGTTTTTCACTCTATTGTGTGGTTGGAATTTGTTTTATACTCTGATACAGTTTTAATTTCCTTGAGTTTTCCATAGTGAAGTAACTGAAATTTGTCTTCAATGAACTTCATATTGATTTCTGCGGCCCATTTAGATTGATTTGGTTGACGGCTGCTTGAAGATTTACAGTGTCTTTGATGGATGACACTGTTATACAAATTCAAGTGTCATCTGCAAAGGAGGAGACACAGTGATGTGGCTTGCATCTCTGTCTATGTCAGATATGAGGATGAGGAACATGATGGGAGCAAGTACTGTACCTTGTGGAACGGGGCTTTTCACCGCAGCCCCCTGGAGTTTACCTGGAGAGAGTTCCGGGGGTCAACGCCCCCGCGGCCCAGTCTGTGACCAGGCCTCCTGGTGGATCAGAGCCTGATCAACCAGGCTGTTGCTGCTGGCTGCACGCAAACCAACGAACGAGCCACAGCCCGGCTGGTCAGGAACCGACTTTAGGTGCTTGTCCAGTGCCAGCTTGAAGACTGCCCTGTGTGATTCCCTGCATAAATTTGCATGAGATACAGTTAAAGGATTAATAATTCTATAATAAGCTTACAATAATATATCTTGTATATCAAGCAGTTTTAATGTAATACTAGTACAGTAATACAGAGAGATATGAAAACAGTATTCAATTCATTTAAAAAGCTTGGCTATAGATTATGGTGTTTTAATTACCTTGTCCCTTGAAAATTAGACAGTTCTGATGAAAGTTCACGCAGTACTGCTCCTGAAGTCCTATCATGTATTACTATAATCAAAGAAGTCTTAAACTCATAAGTGTTATATACTACCAGGAAGCAATCAGGTTTGATGAAAGAATGGGATATAGCCTCAATTCCTTGACTCAAGGGTCATTCACTGGCATTAAGGTATCTCCATATACAAGTCAAATAAATTGCAAAAAAAATCTTGAAAATGATCCTAACAACATATCTCATGGAGTAAATAAATATGAAGCTAATTTACCATAACAAGTACATATCTAAATAGAAAAATAAGTGTATCCTGTCTGGACTAGATGAATACGAAAGAGTTAAGATATAGAGGTTGTGTATAGACAATGATAATTCTTGCTTAAAATTATACTTCATTTCTAAAATATGCATAACCAGCATTCTTCTCAACACATCATTATAACAAAATTAAGAGAGAAAACTGTATAACAAGGAACATCAACTCACTAAAAAAGGTGTGCAGGTCCAGATGAAAGATGTACCAGCACTGAGGTATGCAGCCTTTTTCAACACCTTTATTTCCTTGGCTCTCACATCCAATACTTGTTCTTCAAAGGATGGCTCCCAAGCATACAATTTTAATACCTATAAATTAAGCAATATTGTGGAAAGCCATTGACAAAAAGGTAATTTTTAATTAACATTACTTTAACAGACTTCTAAGAAGAAAATTCTAGTATGGTGACTGTCAAGCTCATCTATTTCCATTTAATGGAAATAATTTTATTAGAAACAAGTACTATAAATTTATACTTTCGTGAAAAAATATTCACATGATCTAAAACCTGAAAAGTTTAATGAACTTATTCTTAATTTTCACTTTTCACAGTCGTTTAACCTAGAAACTGTGGGATACCCAAAAATTAAAATCGTATGGGTGTGGCAAAATATCAAACATTTTTTTCTTAGATTAAAAGAGCACACTTTCCCAAGCAGAATAAGCCAAAACTCAATCTGATATTAACTGCCCTTTGCATCTCTTGTCTTTAATACAAAACACACATGCCTTTCCAGAGGGAGGATTGCGTTTCCACCATTCCATGTGCTGCACGATCCCCCATATCTGGCAATTAGATAGCCTAACAACTTTTGTCTTTCATGTTTAACCCTTTCAGTGGCCAGGGTCCATCATGTAGAACCATATTTTGAGCACGCACAACTCACTCAGATAAGTTGCGATTGGTAAATTATTGGGACGTGATAAACCATAAGCAATAATTCCTGGTAATATTTTATCCAAGAAATAGGGTAAATCTTTGATTTTTCTGTGTGATGATGAATGGAATCATGGGGATGTGATTTTTTTTTTTTTTTTAGCACACTGGCTGATTCTCACCAAGGCAGGGTGGCCCAAAAAAGAAAAACTTTCACCATCATTCACTCCATCACTGTCTTGCCAGAAGGGTGCCTTACACTACAGTTTTTAAACTGCAACATTAACACCCCTCCTTCAGAGTGCAGGCACTGTACTTCCCATGTGATTAATGAACAGGATATGTTTTAGTGCCTGGATATCTACAGTGCTTATTTTGGACTCTGCTTTTCAAGTGGATTCTTTTTAATTTTATGTAAAGCTGACCAAACTATCAACTTCTGTGCACTTTACAGGGAGGAGTTCTGATATTTGAATGAGTATTTTTTTTTTTTTTGTGCTCAACAGAATGAAAGACATACTAGCAAAATATCTAAGAATTTAGTTAAATGCAGCAAAGGAATTGGCTTAACCCCTTAACTGTCCAAACGTAGATTTATGTTCTTACTGCTAGCTCTCCACACGTAGATCTAAGTTTCATTTTTCCTGCCTCCAAAATTGGTACAATTGGCCCAAGATGCCTGGTCAGCATAGAATGGGTCTTAACACTCGGTGTGCACAGTATTACAAAAATCTGGGACCACTTAGTACCTTGTGAGAGCACCAGTTCAACTGAGCGCCAGCTAGAGCAAACAGCACAGCAAACACCAGGGATTCACTGATGTCATGTCATATTAACACTTCCCTTTTAAGAGGAAAGTGATGTTGACCCAAAGTTTAGTGGCTTTGAGGTGGGTGTGACTAGTATTAGGTAGTCTGTAAAATATATTACTGTAACTACCTCTGTTGATATATAAAAAATCAATGTTCAATTTGAACCAACTATGATGTCTAGTATTAAGTAGTCTGTAAATCATTAGGTTTAGTCTGCCCGAAATGCCTCAGCATGACAATGGCTTTCTTTACTCTTGTAAATCAATACTGAAATTACACATTGTAAACTATGCATGATAACAGACTCCTTATTACATGTCAGTTACACATTGTAAACTTTGCAAAGTAATAAAACTTTGGATTTGAATTTAAATTGAATGAGGAAATATTAAAAATCTCGACAATAATCTACGTGCAACATTTGTGCAACACCCTTTCAATTTTGGTACCACTGGTAGTGTCATCCTGCCAGAATGTCCTATAACCCATGCCCTAAGTAAAATGAAACAATTCTTAAATGTATAATATGTGTTCGGCAGGCTGGCTGGCCAACTGGCTGGCCGGCCAACTGGCTGGCTGGCTGATTGGCTGTTTCTGCATCTGTCTGACTGTCTGTATCTATTTCTGTCTCAGTCTCTATCTCTCTGTCTCTGTCTATCTGTCTCTATCTCACAGGTACACATAAATACAATTATACATACTGTAAATTACCTAGGAGAACCCAAAAAATCCAGAGAAAGTGCTATACTGTGATTGTAGATATAATGCATAATAAGCATGACTGGCAAGTAATACGCATTTTCACTTGTCCAGGAATCAGACGTGACTACTCTGCATCTCTGTCTGTAATACCTGTTGCTTCACAAGTCACTCTCTCTCTCTCTCTCTGAGACAGAAAGAGAGACAAGCAGATAGAGAGAAAGACATAAGCAGAGACAGAGAGCTAGACAGACAGATAGATAGATAGATAGACAGACAGACATGTTTATGTGTAACAGTGAAAACAAATAAAGCCAAGGCAGTGCACACTCATCATATGTCACTCCACAGCTGCACTGTCAGCAATTTAGTGATACTCATCTTACACCATGCTTCAAGGAAACTTATTATTATTATTATTATTTTTTTTTATTATCACACTGGCCGATTCCCACCAAGGCAGGGTGGCCCGAAAAAGAAAAACTTTCACCATCATTCACTCCAATCACTGTCTTGCCAGAAGGGTGCTTTACACTACAGTTTTTAAACTGCAACATTAACACCCCTCCTTCAGAGTGCAGGCACTGTACTTCCCATCTCCAGGACTCAAGTCCGGCATGCCGGTTTCCCTGAACCCTTCATAAATGTTACTTTGCTCACACTCCAACAGCACGTCAAGTATTAAAAACCATTTGTCTCCATTCACTCCTATCAAACACGCTCATGCGTTTATTATTATTATTATTATTATAATATACTCCTGCGTGTCCAAAACATTGCTGGGACCTATAAATACTATGTATATATTTCTAGACAATAGAAAGGTAGGTGAAAATGTTCACTTATCACTGTGTTTGTGACTATCTGAGTACTATTTCAGTACCTAATACAGTGGTCCCTCATTTATCGTTGTTAATCCGTTCCTGGAAGTGCAACAATTATCAAAATAGACGATTTTCAAATAAATTTTCCCAATAAGAAATAATGTAAATACAATTAATCCATTCCTGACACCCAGAAGTATTAAAACAAAAAATTTTTTTTACATGAAATATAGATGTAGCACATAAACAATACAATGGGACATGATGAATGAAACATTAACAGCATAACACTTACCTTTATTGGCGATTCTTCTTAATGTATGGAAGACTGGAGGAGGAGAGAGATTGGATTAGTTACCGTTTGGAAGGGGAATCCCCTTCTGCCAACACCTCAGGTGCCAAGTCCTTTTCTGGAGTTAAATACTTCTCTTCTGTTTCTTAATGCCACTAGGACCAGCTTTGAGTCACTGGAGTTCTGTCTCGCAAAAAAAGTGTCCAGAGAGCTCTGTTTCTGGTGTCTCTTTATAACTTCCCTAAAATGGGCCAAGACTCTGTCACTGTACAAGTTGCCGATATGGCTTGCAACATCCTTCTCAGGGTGATGTTTCTCCATAAATCTTTCCATCCTACCCCACATTTCAAAAATCTCCTTTATTTCTGAAGAAGGCACCTTCTTCCATCTCTCTTCCTCCTCTGCAGCAAGATTCTGAGCTGCAATCTGTTGCTCTTCCTGCTGAAGCTCTTGCAGCTCCTCAGTGGATAGCTCTTTGTTGTGGTCCTCCACCAACTCTTCCACATCCTCCAAACTCACATCCAACCTCATGGAACTCCCCAATGCCACAATAGATTTCACAACTGACATAGGCTCATCTGGCCACAATTTTCTCCAAGCAACAACAGCTTCCTTGATTTCCTTTTTTCTTTGCCACAATGGAAGATATGGTTGTATGGGGTTTGTTATACATCCTGGCCAGTTCGGCCACACGTACACCACTTTCATATTGTTCAATGATGTTTTTCTTAAATTCAATCGTATTTCTCACCTTCTTTACCAAAGGCTTGGCACTAGGAGCTTTCTTTGGAGCCATGATAGCTTATTTAGCACTTGCAAGCACTAAAATGAATGGAATATTATGAAATATTTCGTATGAACAAGTGAGGGGACCGTCCTTCACTGGTAAACAATGGCACACTGGCTGGGAAGGGAGGCGGAGGCGGCTCAGAGCCGTGAGTACGCGTCCAGGATGAACGATGATTAGCAAGTCAACCGACCATTTGCGAGCCAATGTTTGGACGAAAATAACGCGACGATTTCCGAAAAGAACGACTATCGAGCCCGACAATTATCGAGGGACCGCTGTAGTGTCAGAACAAAGAATGGCTATGAAATCACAAAAACTACTACAAACTGTAATTATCAGAAGATAAAAATTATATAAATTAAAAAAAAAAAAAAAAAGGTATACAGTGGACCCCCGCATACCGTACGCATCACATAACGTTCAATCTGCATACCGCTCGCTTTTATAGCAAAAATTTTGCCTCGCATACCGCTCAAAAACCCGCTCACCACTCTTCGTCCGAGACGCGTCCAATGTGCGCCCTTAGCCAGCCTCACATGTGCCGCCGGTGGCATTGTTTACCAGCCAGCCGCCGCGGTAACATCCAAGCATACAATCGGAACATTTCGTATTATTACAGTGTTTTTGGTGATTTTATCTGCAAAATAAGTGACCATGGGCCCCAAGAAAGCTTCTAGTGCCAACCCTACAGCAATAAGGGTGAGAATTACTATAGAGATGAAGAAAAAGATCATTGATAAGTATGAAAGTGGAGTGCGTGTCTCCGAGCTGGCCAGGTTGTATAATAAACCCCAATCAACCATCGCTAATATTGGTGGTACAGCTGCTGCTGCTGCTGTACCACCGTCAGCTGCTGCTGCAGTACCGTCTGCTGCTGCTGTAGCATCGTCTGCTGCTGCTGTAGCACTGTCAGCTGCTGCTGCTGCTGTAGCACTGTCTGCTGCTGCTGCTGCACTGTCAGCTGCTGCTGCTGCTGTACCACCGTCAGCTGCTGCTGTAGTACTGTCTGCTGCT